ACTCTGGGATGAGTTAGTGGATGTTAAAATGCGTAAATCCCAGTTTAATATGCAGAGACAACTATAACACATATAAAAAACATTTCAAATATATATATATCACCTGAAAAGTGTAAACACTTTGACTCTGTGGTAATTTCAAAATATTGCTTGATAATGAATTTTTCTTTAATGATTTTTATTTAATATTGTAATATATCTATTTATAATAAAGCAATTATTGTTGTTGTAATGTTGTTGTGTAAATGAAAACACCACAATAATAAAATAATTAGACTACAACAAAAAAAATTATTATTGTTATTATTAAATACAGTTTTTTTGTTGTAGTCTAATGATTTTTATAATTGCAATATTTTTATTAAAAGTTTTTATTAAAACTGTATTATTATTATTATTATTATTATTATTATAAATAAAATATCACAATAATAATAATCATTCAATTACAACAAAAATAATCATAATAATAGTTGTTAATATTATTATTAAATATTGACAAATATTTGACTTTTTTTGTAGTCTAATGATTTTTATAGTCATTTAAAAATGTGGAATAAAATGAATTATTGATCCGTTCTTCATATCTGTAATCAGAACAATTAAAACTAATTTATTTTGGTCATAAAAAACTGTATTTTAGACTTTTATCAAAAGGGCAATTTATTATTTGTTAATGCAATGCAAACGTATTGAGTTTTAGGGATGTGTTTTATGAATAAATCTAAACTGACAGGACAGAGGAATTTAAAGGTCGCTCATGCTTATTGTTTGTTTGGTTTTTTAAGGACAGACTTGAGGTCGGAGACTAGATATCCAGAGACTGATAAAGTGTGTGTGTGTGTGTGTGTGTGTGTGTGTGTGTCCACTTTAATCAGTAGGATAGTTTTTCCAGTTCCAGTAGATTGTGAAGTAAAACTACATCCTGACACACATGAGCCTGTTGTTAAATGAAAGCATGGTTAATGCAGATTTATGCGACGCAGAATAGGTGGCTAATATGCTAATAGACGAGTTATGCTGATGCTCTCATCAGGTTGAGGACGTGTGGATTTTTCTGCGTATGATTAACATGTTGAAGAGCTCTTGGAGTGGCTTGTTTTTCCGAGATGAACACAATGATTGGCCCGGTTTGCGGAGGAGAAACAGGAAACAATAGACTTGATTACCCGATCGATGGGTCGTCATTTGCATCCGCAGCAGCTCGCCTGATCCAAAAACATCAGGTGAGACTATAATGCTATAATCTTGAGGCTTGATGCAGATGCTGGAGAGCTTGAAAACAGTCCCATTCTGTCAGTAAAAAGCACAATTTTCCTTTATTAAAGCCTCTTGCGTGACTCATATAGCAGGAAAGAGTTGTCAGTATTTGTGCTCTGAGATCATCTGTATGTAATATATCTATATAAAAAGTACTATAAAGTTAGTAAAATAAAATTTTTAGCAGATACACTGAAAAAATTAAGTGTAGAGTAAACAATTTTTGCTCAGAAATGGCTAGTAAATTTCACAAAAATTACAAAGAAACGGCAAATAACACGCAAATAATTTTAAAGTGAAAAGACTGAAATAGTATTTTCTTTTAAAACACTCCTTCAAAAAATCTTTTTTTACGGTGTATACACATTTAAAATGTTGCAGTCTTTCTCTTCAGGGGAAAACACACCAAAAATATTGCTGTTTTTACATCCTCTGCAGGGGCGTATGCATATTTTTGTCCAATAAAGCTGCTTTCTGGACTGGGAATGTCTTTAAATAACAAATAGCACTTTATAAAAAGGTTTGCGATTCATCCTGTCCAATCTTAGATAAGTCAGAATGTCAGTAGACCAACATAGGACAGAAAACTGCATTTATTAAGTTATTTTATGGTGTCTTCAATCATAATTTCTTTTAACTTGTCAACTTTTTTCTTCCACTTTAGCCCAACAAAGCCGAGACATTGACTCCGTCAAGTATAGAGATGTTATATAAAGTGACAGTTGTGCTATAGTTGTCTGAGAAACGAACTAGTCTTGACAGACTCATTGACGCATCGTCCTTGGCTTTATCTTATGAATCTGTTTTTTGATAACGATGAAGGGTTATACTTTCCTCAGGGTCACACATCCATTGACCTGTCACCATCTAAACTAAAACTCAAACCATGAAAACATTGAGTTACTTGAAATAAAATAAACATGAACTGAAAAACAGTGAAGATGGTTATATTTATAGCCCAGCAGTGTTATTTTAGTATTTATTAATATTTTGAATTTTTGAACCTGAAAAACTTTGCAATTGCAATTATTTTTATTAACATTAACGTTAGTACGTTTAATGAATCTTTTATAGAACTGTGTGTACAATATCTTGTCTATTTTTATATTTTACAAGGTTTTAAGTTTGTTTAATTTATATAATGTTGGTTTTTATTGTACTTTTTTTATTATATTGTTGCATGTTTAATCGGTATGTGATATGGCAATAACTCATTTTAAATACAACCAACCAAAAACTTTAAACCAAAAACATAAAACTATATAAATTATATTTTTTCGAAATATATTTAAATAACCTATATTTAAAAAAACAAAAACAAACACACAGCAAAATTACAAAAAATGTAACTAAAATTAATAAAATTAAAATTAAAACTAATTAAAAATATTAATAAAAACTATATTATGCTAAAATAGCACTGCAACACACACTTGTGCACAAATAAGTCAAAAACTCTAGTACACATCAGCACATACATCATAAGCATGATTTATGCGGTTTACACCTGTTATTTTCAGGTGATGTTTAGAAGCTGTGTGTGTGTGTGTGTGTGTTTTCCTCTTCACGGCATTCAGAAGTGTTGATACAGCCATCACACAGATATTTTTTTATGGTCGCGGGACTGAAATAATCACAGATTCTGCTTTAGCTGAAATCAGGCTCGGCTCTTGAAATATGTGGCCTCTTGGAGTTATGATTGATGATCAGCTGAATTTCACTGATCTCATTGTTAGAACTGTCCGGTGCTGCAGATTTGCCTTATGCAACATCAAGAAGATCAGGCCCTTTCTATCAGAACATGCTACACAACTCCTTGTTCAAGCTCTTGTTCTGTCCAGGCTGGACTATTGCAATGCTCTCTTGGCAGGTCTTCCAGCCACTTCTATCAAACCTCTACAATTAATCCAGAATGCTGCTGCAAGATTAGTCTTTAACAAGCCGAAAAGAGCGCATGTCACACCTCTGTTCATCAATTTGCACTGGCTACCATTAGCTGCTTGCATTAAAATTCAAGGCATTGATGTTTGCCTACAAAACAAGCACCGACTCTGCACCACTTTACCTAAAATCATTGCTTCAGAGTTATGTGCCTTCTAGAAGCTTGCGTTCTGCGAGTGAACGGCGCATTATAGTGCCGTCCTAAAGGCTAAAAACACATCTCTTCCATCTACACTTGATCCTCTAACTCTAGCACTCTCTATTCTATTTCTATTCTATCTACTTGTTTTCTTTTTATTGATTAAAAATAAAACAATAGCGTTGTCTATTCTTTTCCTATTCTATCTACTTTTAATTATTATAAAAGATAATAATAACTTGACCCTGTAACAGAAGCTCTATCTACTTTTTATTCATTCTATTTATTATAAAAAATTAAAATAAAAAAATCCTTGATATGTGTAGTGCGTTAGACTTAGAGGGACTTGTCACAGCACTTATATTATATTGTTGCTCTGTTGTTGGTTTTGATTGCTTCTATTGTCCTCACTTGTAAGTCGCTTTGGATAAAAGCATCTGCTAAATGACTAAATGTAAATGGATACAGGTCTGGGATCAGATTTTATACCTGAGTGCAGCTGAATATGGAGCAGGTGAAGCTGATAAAATACTGAAATGTCTCTGAAAATGCCACCGTTTACCAAAATAAATAAATAAATTTCTCATGGGAATTATTGTATATAGTCATTGAAGTATTACTGTTATTATAATTATTTTAAATGTTATTATTCTTGAGTTTGCCTTGAATATAGCATTTGATGTGGATATTGTATTAAATGCTAAATAAATAAACCACTATTCATAAGTGTAAGCTGAAAACATATAGCATTTTCTGGCTTCTTGTTTATTAGCAACATATAACCAATCTCTCTTAGACTTGTCGGTGGTGTTGAGACTTGTGAGATTTCACTGGTGTCGGTATCATGAAAATCCTACATGTATATTTGTGTGTATATGCATATTATCACTAATATTTGTTTCTAATATTTCTTTTTATTGCATCATAACATAACATGACTTATATTCAACCTTATTTGGTGATGAATATTACACAGGAAAAAAAACAGGACGAACAAAACTGAGGTTTTTATATTTTTATTTAATATTTCTATATGCACAGCAGTGTTATTTTATTACCATTGAGATACTATTATAGTTTTTACTAATATTTTGAATCAGTTTTTTATTTATTTTACATTTTAATTTTATTTAAAGTTTTAGTAATATAGTTTTGTTGTAATTTTTATCAGTTTTTTTTTTTTAAATATTAATGTTTATAGTTTTTATTTTATTTCATTTTTTGTTTTAGTCATTTTAGTACTTCAAATTAAACTAAAATGAAAATGAGAAATATTGCATTGGCAACTAGCTGGAATAAAATGTTTTATTGCTATTTAGTATTATTATTATGTTGTTTTAGTTAAATAGAATAACCCTGAGACATATAGACATATTTATAAAAAATAAAAATGACCAAAAAACACAAAGTTATTAACACTTTAACTAAAATGGAAATGGAAAATAAAAACTAATTCAAAATAGAAAGTAAAACTATAATAGTATATTAATGATACCAAAATAACACTGAAACACATAATTGTGTACTTCTAAGTCAAAACATTTATGCACATACATTATAAACATGAAGATTTGTGCTGTTTACACCTGTTATTTTTTTAGATGATTGTGAAATATCAGCCTAACCGGTTGAGTTGAATCACAATGTCTTGTTTTTGCAGGTTTTGATCGTGGCAAAGACGAAATCCTGCCTCTGAAAGAAGACTCCTCACACTCCATATCCAAGAGCAAGGTAAACTCCCTACCCATGATCCTCTGGGGCTGGAATTGGATCGGTACGGGTCTTCAGCCCGTGTTTATTAATTATACATAGTCAGGAGCGTCTCAGAGGTGACGGGACAGCAGGGGGACGGGCGTTGATTAGCAGCATGTCAGAAATAACCCTAGAGAAGTCTCCGTTAACATCCCACATTCGCTAATGTGATCAAATGCATCGTAGCATTGAAGCCGTTAGTCTAGACCAGATAAGACTAGATTTGTGAACACACATAAATGCTAAATCAGTGCATCACAGGTTAGCTTGAGTCACTCTGGTGGGTTTTAGATGTCGTAGACGTGCCACCACATCCAGACGGACCATTAAGAGACGCACTCGAAATCCAGAATAAATCCCAGAGCCGTCAGACACGAGCGTCAGAGAGGACTTAACAGAGATCCTTCAGACCCTTTCAAAGGGCTAATTAACCCATGTTCACATAAAGATATTTCACCTAATCGGCTTTGAAAAGCTTCGGGGTGAAATTAAAAGACCGGTCCAAAATTAAGCTTAGACCCACCTGGAAGGTGAACTGATTAAATGTTCTGACTGTGAGTGCTTCATTAGTTATAAAACTGTATTTTGCATTATATTGTATTTTGTGTTATGATTAATATTTATTTCAAGTAATGAAAATGTTTTTTACGGTTTTAATTTTATTTCAGTTTTAAGTATAATGATCCTGAAAGTAATTTTACTGTGTTTATCATTTTTATTATTTTTATAAATATATCTACATTGTTTTTATTCATTTTTAATTCATTTTTTAATTGAAATTGAAAAATGTTGTAGCTGAATATAGCTGAAATAAGTTTAATTAATATCTATTATTAATCATGTTTAATATTTTATTGATTATTTATTTATTTTTATTTAATATGTATATAACTGAAATAAAAGTTAATATTTAGTTTATTTCAAGTAACAGAATTTTTTTAATGATTTTAATTTTATTTTCAGTTTTAACAGTGATAGATAGATAGATAGATAGATAGTTATTGGCTTACAATAACTCTACTGGAGCGATGCGTAATCATATTCAATACAGGCATGTAGGCTTAAGCTTAGAGATTAGCCAAAGCCAGCAAATGTCAATCACGTCATTCACTACAACCCGTCGCTGCTGTGATCCCGTCCACGCCGTCTATTCCTCTAATGAACACCTACTTTGGTGGTGGTGTGGGATGTCCAGGCGCTTTCCGAAATTCTGTTGGCTTGCTTTTCGTTATCTCTGCGTGCCTGCGACTTCAATTCCTACCGAGTGTGTTTTTTCAAGTGCAGGAATTGTTAATCTCCTCAGGTCCTGTCTTTCTTTTTGTTCGTTTTGTTTTTAGATGAACATGTATAGCCTACATGATGAAGTATGTTTTTAAAAGCCGTTTTAATGCTATTCCTTGATCAAATTTCCTATTGGTTTTGACTTGTGTTTTAATATGTTGGTCCGTTAACATCCCACATTCGCTAATGTGATCAAATGCATCGTAGCATTGAAGCCGTTAGTCTAGACCAGATAAGACTAGATTTGTGAACACACATAAATGCTAAATCAGTGCATCACAGGTTAGCTTGAGTCACTCTGGTGGGTTTTAGATGTCGTAGACGTGCCACCACATCCAGACGGACCATTAAGAGACGCACTCGAAATCCAGAATAAATCCCAGAGCCGTCAGACACGAGCGTCAGAGAGGACTTAACAGAGATCCTTCAGACCCTTTCAAAGGGCTAATTAACCCATGTTCACATAAAGATATTTCACCTAATCGGCTTTGAAAAGCTTCGGGGTGAAATTAAAAGACCGGTCCAAAATTAAGCTTAGACCCACCTGGAAGGTGAACTGATTAAATGTTCTGACTGTGAGTGCTTCATTAGTTATAAAACTGTATTTTGCATTATATTGTATTTTGTGTTATGATTAATATTTATTTCAAGTAATGAAAATGTTTTTTACGGTTTTAATTTTATTTCAGTTTTAAGTATAATGATCCTGAAAGTAATTTTACTGTGTTTATCATTTTTATTATTTTTATAAATATATCTACATTGTTTTTATTCATTTTTAATTCATTTTTTAATTGAAATTGAAAAATGTTGTAGCTGAATATAGCTGAAATAAGTTTAATTAATATCTATTATTAATCATGTTTAATATTTTATTGATTATTTATTTATTTTTATTTAATATGTATATAACTGAAATAAAAGTTAATATTTAGTTTATTTCAAGTAACAGAATTTTTTTAATGATTTTAATTTTATTTTCAGTTTTAACAGTGATAGATAGATAGATAGATAGATAGTTATTGGCTTACAATAACTCTACTGGAGCGATGCGTAATCATATTCAATACAGGCATGTAGGCTTAAGCTTAGAGATTAGCCAAAGCCAGCAAATGTCAATCACGTCATTCACTACAACCCGTCGCTGCTGTGATCCCGTCCACGCCGTCTATTCCTCTAATGAACACCTACTTTGGTGGTGGTGTGGGATGTCCAGGCGCTTTCCGAAATTCTGTTGGCTTGCTTTTCGTTATCTCTGCGTGCCTGCGACTTCAATTCCTACCGAGTGTGTTTTTTCAAGTGCAGGAATTGTTAATCTCCTCAGGTCCTGTCTTTCTTTTTGTTCGTTTTGTTTTTAGATGAACATGTATAGCCTACATGATGAAGTATGTTTTTAAAAGCCGTTTTAATGCTATTCCTTGATCAAATTTCCTATTGGTTTTGACTTGTGTTTTAATATGTTGGCTAACGTTATATGAAGATGAAGAATTCTGTGATTGATTTTTCGAGGCAAGCGTACGGCATAATTGTGACCTATTTTTTGCGGAATACATTGAGGGATTTGACAGTATGATTCATAGATTAAGTATTTCAAATGTAGGCTATTATATACACACACGCAAAAAGTTGTTTTTTTTCTTACCATCTTTTGGGGGTTTCTTGCTTTTAGACTAGTCGACTAGTCAGATACAAAGCGAGGCAAGCGTACGGCATAATTGTGACCTATTTTTTGCGGAATACATTGAGGGATTTGACAGTATGATTCATAGATTAAGTATTTCAAATGTAGGCTATTATATACACACACGCAAAAAGTTGTTTTTTTTCTTACCATCTTTTGGGGGTTTCTTGCTTTTAGACTAGTCGACTAGTCAGATACAAAACTTCAGTTTAAACGACAGTCAAATTAGTCGTCGTACACATCCCTAGTGTGTGTGTATATAAATAATTTGTATATATGTATGGATTATGCCACATTAATTTAGGCCAGCCTAATGCACAGTTCATAATATCATAATGTCCATCATGCCGTGTAAATTACTAACATTTATGTTGGTTTTGCAGTCGGAAACAAAGCTCTATAATGGCTCAGATAAGGATGTATCGGCGTCTGGAAACAAGCTTACTAAGAAGGAGTCACTCAAGGTACAGCCATACTCATTAATGACACACTGATCAATACAGACTTTCAGTGCATTTTTTTATTTATGCATGCTGATTACTAATGATAATAATGACTAATAATGTGATGTTTTGCGTGCATGTCTATTCAGGTGCAAAAGAAGAACTACAGGGAAGAGAAGAAACGTGCCACTAAAGAGCTGCTGAGCACCATCACTGATCCGTCTGTCATCGTCATGGCCGACTGGCTCAAGGTTTGCTCTTAAAATGTGTTTATTCTTGTAGGCCATTTTCATACTGGAGTCTTTGGTGTGGCTTAACTTACACAACCCTCTATAATGAGAGTAAATCACTCACACATGCAACTAAATCTTCACTCTGGGCGACTAAATGATGTCTATCGTTAGCCATTGGCTAATAAATTCTTAGATTTTACTCGCCAGTGTGTGTGTTAGAGGCTAAGTGTAAGTTAAGCACAGATATATTTTCACTCTGACTTGAGTGTTTCAGAGTTTCACTCTCCATCAAGCGATCTGTGCGCAGCGCACCCGTATTTGACGCACTGTAAACTCTAGTGTGAAGACACACGACTCGCCGTCGCTTTGCTGATAGCGCTGTGTTTCTCACACACACGCAAAGACTGAGAGAGAGCGAGTGAGAGAGTCTTACAGAATCGATGTGCTACATGTAAATGATATTCTTTGTTGTATTCTTCTGTAAAAATAACAGTTCATTTAGAATTATTCAGCTTTTAAGAACAAGCTGAAGATATGCAGGTTTCTCCGGTAGTGGGCGGAGCTAATGCGCAAACGGCAATCTCATTGGCTGGCACTCACCAATTACCGTCCCTGTTTTGATGTCAGCAAATCAGTTTGAGCGAACGCAGACAACGTGATTAATATTCATGAACCCAGCAGCTTATTAATCCGTAGTGCATTTTATATTGTTATTAGAAGTAGAGTAGTAGTTTTATTTTTTTACAGAAACACTACATGACCAACAATATCTGAAGCACCACCACCAGTCCTAAGTTCAGCTAAAATGACAAAAAATGCTTTCATACATGATTACCAAGTTTTAGTTCTAATTGCTAAAGTTCTATCATTAAATAATGATTAATTATCATAATATCATAATATAATGCTTGACTGGCTGATGTTAAGAGTGTGCTTTCAGATATTTAAAAAGCTGTGCCATTTTACAAACATAAGCTTTATATATATATATATTGTGTGTCTATCTGGCGAGTAAACTAAAAAATGTACTAGCCAATGGCGATTCTATTGCCACGGTGTGTGTAGAGAGTTGTTACAGAACACTTTTTTATGGTGCAAAATCTTGTTTTAGTAATGCATATTGTATAATGCTTTTAATGCACATCTCTGCATAACTGGTCTCAAACATTTTTCATTCTTCATAGAATCTCTCGCAATGCATCCACAGCAGACGGATGCATTAAATTTTGGTAGTAAATCCAACGGGACAAAAGCATGATTAAAAAGTGAATATCATTTTTCATTTTGCCATCTTCCTGCAGGGGTAAACAACCCATGTTAATAATCACAGTAATGCTCACATTGCTGATAGTATGTGAAAAAAGACCTGCAGGGTCAGGAGGAAAGGAGGTTAAATTGATCATAGCTTTGGATCACACAATCAAACCATATGAGAAAACGTCCAGTCGTTTATGAGTCAGTTTTATCTCCTTCAGATCCGTGGCACGCTGAAGAGCTGGACCAAGCTGTGGTGTGTGCTGAAGCCAGGTGTCCTGCTCATCTATAAGACCAATAAGAATGGTCAGTGGGTTGGGACCGTCCTGCTCAACGCCTGTGAGCTCATCGAGAGACCCTCCAAGAAGGACGGCTTCTGCTTCAAGCTCTTCCACCCGCTCGAACAGTCCATCTGGGCCGTCAAGGTGCATGAGAAAACTCAGCGAGAGCCATTCAGATTAAGATGAACATTATTGGAGTCGCATTGTTATGCTTTTGGGGTTCTAATTATTCAAAGTTCTAAAAGATGTCTTAGATGCATAATAAAAAAAAATTATATAATGTGTGTATATTTAATAAATAAAAGCATATATATTGAATGTAATGTTAAAAAATATTATAGAAATATTAGACATTTAATATTTTAAAACACACTACCATTTGAGAAACGTTTAGGGTCTATAAGAAGTCTCTTCCGCTCACCAATGCTGCATTTATTTGATCAAAAATACAGTAAAAACAGTAATATTGTGAAATATTATTACAATTTTAAATAACTATTTTCTGTGTGAATATATAGTAAAATGTAATTTATTTCTGTGATCAAAGCTGAATTTTCAGCATCATTACTCCAGTCTTCAGTGTCACATGATCCTGCTGATTTGCTGCTCAAGAAACATTTATGATTATTATCAATGTTGGCTGTTTTTTTCTTTTTAGAAGCTTACTTTTTTTTCAGGATTCTTTGGAAGGAATTGAATAGAAAGTATAAAAGAATATATTTTAAATTGTTTTTAATGTTTTTTAAATGTTTTTAATATTTAATATTTTTATATTAACATGTATTTATTATAATAAAACTATTTACAATTTTTAATATTTTTTGGAAACTAATTTTTTTGTCAGGATTCTTTAGAAAGAATTTGATAGAGGGTTCAAAAGAAGAACTTTATTTGAATTATTATTAGTATTATTATTATTTGAATTTTTGGTAACATTATAAATGTCACTTTTGTTCAATTTAATGCCTACTCACTGAATAAAAGTATTAATTTCTTTATTAAAACAGATATTGAACAGTGTGTATATAACATTTTATATATTTAAAACTATAAAACAATGTAAAAAATTTAATAAAACAATAAAATAAAAAAGAAAGCAAGTATGTATAATATGGGCTCTTGTTATATTCATTAAATTTCTTATAATCCTTTATTAATGTAAAAAGTTATTTGGATAGTTGGATGAAGTGTTTATGTTTGTGTCTCAGGGTCCTAAAGGAGAAGCCGTTGGCTCCATCACTCAGCCGTTACCCAGCAGCCACCTAATCTTCAGAGCTGCTTCAGAATCAGATGGTGAGACACACAGATTTACAGAACAAAGCTGTATGTTACTGCAGCACCAGTCTTTATAACACACTGCATCGTGTGTGTAGGCCGCTGTTGGATGGACGCTCTTGAGCTGGCTCTGAAATGCTCGAGTTTGCTGAAGCGAACGATGATCCGAGAGGGCAAAGAGGAGACGACGCAGACCGCAGAGCACTCGCACATCAACTTCTACAGTCTGCTGAGGGCACACAACATGCAGGGCTTTCAGTGAGACACGCACATTAACACAGCCAGCTGTCATCTTACTGGCTCTTTAGATGAATATTTAATTCAGCGTTGATAAAAGGTGACACTTGCATGTTCATTTTTAATGTCGGACGTTCAGCGGCTGAGTGCCGTGACATTTCCTTTAAATCTTAAGTGAGAGTTCAGTCTTGGCTAATACAATAGTACTTTTTATTTTATGGCACATGACCAGTAACAGAAATGACTTAATTTTCAATGCACATTTACAATTAAGTGCATTAACGTCCACTTTTTTGGCTAAATTGTTTGTTTTTCCCGTTTATTTTCCCATAGGGATTTAAAAAACGTCTTCATAAACGCATTATAAGCCATGAACCAAAACAAGCAGCTACGAGTTTAATCACAACATCACAAACTTTGATTTGAAACAGAATATTTTTGAAAATTGGACAAAACTACTGAAAGTTGAAATAATGTGAACCGATGGCTTCAACAAAAGCATATACCATTACAAATAATTTCGTTAAAAATCAATATCTCTACTTTGGAAGTAAAAAAATCTCTTTAAAAAAATTAAGTGTTTAAAAAATATATTTTTTATTATTTATATTACATTTTTATGATTATATTTGTATATTTATTGAAATTTAATTGTATGTAATTTATATAAAAATAATTTTAATATGTTAAAATAATGAAGTGAATGGGTGGCTTCAACAAAAGCATATGCCATTAAAAACCAATCTCACTATTTGGAAGTTTTTATTTCCAACACTATACATTTTCTTTAAAAAATTAAGTGTTTTTAAAAAAATTATTACATTTTTTGTATTTATATTGAAATTGTATATTTATATAAATATACAAAATATAACATTTTTATAGTTAAGGATTACAAATTAAATTAACCAAACATGATAAAATCACTGCAACTAAATAATAATAAATGAATTTATTATCATTTATTTTTATTTATTTATTTATAATAATAATAATAATAATCACTTTAATAAACAATTTGTCCACATAAAAGCGTAAAGGCAAAATAAGACATCAAGACATCAAACCTGATTTTAGCTTGTTTTATATTGTGAACTGATTGTTTCACTCTGTATGCATATATTGACCGAAACTGAAGTAGTTGAAGCACCACTAGTCACCGATTAATGCAAGTCCTGTGTTTGCATATTAACTGAGAGTTTGTGTGATCCGTCAGGTTTAACGACAGCGATCAGTTTAAGGATCCGGACCTGTACTCGGATAAATCGGACCGTGAGAACGAGCAGGAGCAGGAGGAGTGGGAGAACGAGGTGATGGAGAAAAGTGAAGAGAGCGACAGCGACACGTCAGAGCGACAGGAAGACTCGTACATCGACCTCGATCCCAACGAGACGCTGCGGGAAACGTCGTACATCGAGCAGAGCCACGAGGAGCTGGGAGAGGTGCGTGTGTGATGCAATCCCTCAACTAAATGATGATAATGGCATGCACAGATGCTAACACAATATTCAGACGGCTATTTTTACAGCAGACAGCTGGGAGATGAACAGTAAGTCTGTGGTGGATATGACACAATCTGTTCATTCAAGCTGTGTGTGTGTGTGTGTGTGTGTGTTTCAGGCAGGCGAAGAGTCTCAAACGGAGACGGTATCAGAGGAGAATAAATCTCTGATCTGGACTCTACTAAAGCAGGTTCGGCCCGGCATGGACCTGTCCAAAGTCGTGCTTCCCACCTTCATCCTGGAGCCACGATCCTTCCTGGACAAACTGTCCGATTACTACTATCACGCGGACTTCCTGTCCGCGTAAGATAACACACAGACACAGGGATGCTCCGATTATTCAGATGCTCCTTTATGTTCACAAATAACAAAAGGAAAACTACTAAAAATCCTCATTGAAATAAAGCTGAAATAATATACAAAATTTTGATGAAACTTAAAGTAGAAAACAAAACGAAAATTAGAACTGAAATAAATTAAAGTTGAAGTTCTAGTTATTACTGAAATAAACTGAAATACAAATAAATTAAAGCTAAATATAAATTATAAAATGGCATAAAAATGACAAAAGAACATCATAGAATTATTAAAGCTTAAACTAAAAATAAAAATATGACAATGAAAATATAAAAATAAAAGCTAACTACTATAATGGTATATAAATAATGAACTAAATGACATTGGAAAGGAGCATGGAATTGCTGTCTCTGTTTTACAAATCAGTCCCTTATTTGGGACTATAAAATGTGTAAAAAACATAATTTATCAAAAAAATCGAATTATTTAACAAAAATATATTTTATAAAAAATTGTTTTAATTATTTTATTTTTTGTTTATATTAAAATTTTATATTAATTTTGTTTAATTTATTTACATTAAATTAATTATATGTAATTTATTTAAAAATAATTTTATCATAGTTATGGATTAAAAATGAAGTGGACCAAACATGGTAAAATCACTGTAACTAAATAATATTAAATTAGATGGATTACATTTATTTATAATAATAATAAACAAATTGTCCACATAGTAATAAACATAATAAACAAATCGTCAGTGTAAAGTCAAATTAAAATGTCAAAATCAATGTTATTTTAGTATTATTGAAATACTGTTATAGTTTTTGTTAATATTTTGAATTAGATTTTTATTGATGTTTTCACACTAATTTTAGTTAAAGTTTTTGTATTTTTTGTGATTTTAGTTTTCTTTTTTTAAATATGTCTATATAATATTTATTACTTTTGATTTATTATTATTAGTTTATTTAGTTTTAGTAATTTTAGTAACTTAAACCAAACGAAAATGAGAATTTGTTTATTTTTTTATTTAATTAATTCTTTAATTAATTTATTTTTTCAAGTAAAGAATTTTTTTAATGTTTTTAGTGTTATTTAGCAATAATAACCCTGGTAAAAAATAATAATAATAATACACATAACAACATCGAATCAGATTTTAGCTTGTTTTAAAGTAACTTTACTGTAATTGTGTTTTGTTAATCTTATCAGAGCGGCGGTGGAGGAAAACGCTTATAACCGTATGAAGAAAGTGGTCAAATGGTACATTTCTGGATTCTACAAGAAGCCAAAGGTAAAGGCTCATTCACTAATAGACCTTTCAGACATCTCGAATCTGTCATTTTCCATCATATTTTCATTATTTTTGTCACTGACAGGGTTTGAAGAAACCGTACAACCCCATTATTGGAGAAACATTTCGCTGTTTATGGATCCACAGCAAAACCAACAGCAAAACCTTCTACATCGCAGAACAGGTGAAGCAGCAAAATTGACTTTAATTCCACTCAGTGTCTACCGAGCCTCACACCAACATAAAGTGTCTGTCCTCCTCCAGGTATCCCATCATCCTCCGGTTTCAGCCTTTTACGTCAGCAACAGGAAGGATGGCTTTTGTCTCAGCGGTAGCATCCTGGCCAAGTCCAAGTTTTACGGTAAGACAGAAGATGCGCTACGATAAATCTCGTCATTTTGTATAACACGTCTGAGTGCGAGTTTGTTGGCGTGTTTCTCAGGAAACTCTCTGTCGGCCATCTTGGACGGTGAAGCCAGGCTGTCGTTTCTGAACAGAGGAGAGGATTATGTGATGAACATGCCCTATGCCCACTGCAAAGGTCTGTTTTTCTCACACACACACACACAAACAAACACGCGTGAGCACAGCTAACACCCCAGACTCTATATATCTGAATACAGTCCTCATACCTCGCGACTAACACCCGTCCCCTGTGCTGTCTTCTGTAGAGACACATCTAGGCATGTTTACATGTGTAGTAACTGATTTGGCCTCGTTTACATATATGTGTGCAGTATCCAGTCTAGAGTTTTCATTTAGTTAGCATATGACAGTTTGGTAACACTTTTTTTTTTTTTATAGCAATTGAAACATTATTGCATTATATAACACTTAACAGATGATTAGTGAATGTACAAATTAAATATTTTACTTAAATGTGCATGTATATATGTATTCATGTCCATATGTATGTGTGTATATATACATGTGTCTATTAGTGTTGTCACGGTACCAAAATTTCAGTATTCGGTTCCAATATCAGTGAAAATCCATGGTTCTCGGTACCAATTTCGGTACCAAAGCAAAACACAAAAACATGCTAATTAAACAACATTTTTATTAATAACGTTAAACAAAAATTAAATGTACAAAACCAACGCCATTCTTTATACTTATTTAAAATTGTTTCAAGTTTTTCCACAAGTAATAAAAGTATGAAAAAAGTAAACAAGTTTCACCCAAAAGTTTAGTCATATTTCTGCTGCCACTGAAGAACATCTGTAAACTGTTGTCTGTTTTAGGGTTTGCTGGTGTGTTTCAGGATCTTCCTCAGTCTGCAGCTGTAAAAGGAAAATATAATATACTTAAGTAAAGCAATGGGCTGAGTCTGACCAAATGCAACATTAGATCATTGACACCAGCTAAAATATAACTTTTCAGGAAATAACAAACCTCAGCTTTTATAATAAATTTAGATAAGATTACAAATATTAAGTGTATATCAAATAGATGCAAACTGTAGTATTAAAAACACTTTACAATAAGATTTTATTTGTTAGATAACATGACCTGACCATAAACAATAGTTATATGTCAATTATTCTTCTTTGGGTTAATTTCAAAGTTCAAAAATATATTGTTCACTCACTGTAAGATGTTACTAGATCTAACTCACATTAGAAAACATCAAGTCATTGTACAGTAAAGTCTATACAGGAGATAAAATTTGACTGTACTTTTATTTAATCCAAACTGTGTTCATATTTAATTTTAAAGGGCTTTTAAAACCTGCTAGAGATATTCAGCCAAGAATTACAACTAACTAACTAAAAAAAACAAACAAAAAAACAACTTTTTCTGACGGACTGATATGACATAAACACTGTTAACCATACATTTGTACATTCTCTAACACGCCTACTTTAGTTACACAGTTAATTTAAAAGCCTCTGGTGTGTAAAAATAGTAAATACCATTATGTCCTCCTGTTTTTTACAGTAATAAAAGTTATAAGAGCATTAAATAGTTAACAAAGAAATCATTTTGAACAAAATGAACAAAATTCATTCTAATGCTCATTATATTAGTGTTAGCTGCACTTATGCTAATGATTAACTATGTATTCGCTAACGGGCAATGTTTATTTCAGTCCGAAATTCAAATTAAAATATGGAATAATATTCATTACAGAAGCTCTAAATATTAAAAATGTAATTGAAACTTACCTGCTTGAACTTGATCGGGGTGTTTTGTTAGTTTAATGTGTTTCCTCCTCTTGAGGTCGCCACTGCTTTTATGAAGAGGTTGCCAGGTTTTCACAACAAAACCCGCCCAATCGCGTTTCGAGGGGGTCCCCTGTTAAAAATCACGTTCTGAGGATAAAATATGCATGTTTTGGCGGGGTTCCCCTGGTACAATTCGCATTCCAGGGGCTAAATATCACATTAGTGGGGTCGTTTTTCAACCCGCAGACATGAAAAACAACCCGCAGCAACAGTGTTAAAGCAGCCCAATTCCGCGGGAAAACCGCGGACTTGGCAAAACTGGAAGAGAATAGCTTTCGGATAGCGCATGAAGAACCGGGTTGACCGGGTACTCGGTACCACCGGTACTTAAAACAACCTGGTACCATAACGTTTTCATTTTTTTAGTACCGACTTGGTACCGAAATACCGGGTCTTTTGACAACACTAGTGTCTATGTATATATGATGTGTGTTTTACTGTATTATTTATATCATCATATGTAATACAATTGTAAGTATATGCATATATATTTTATAAGATATGTATTGTGTTTTCACCTTTATATATACCTTTATATTTATACATATTTTATATATATATATATATATAAGACGGTGGTAATATCATTGGGTTCCTATTGGTCAGTAGAGGAGCTTAGCTTAGCCTGACAGTTAGCCTGCTTGAGACCAGGTTAGTTTCCCAGCATAAGTTGCCACCAGTGTTAATTTTGACAGCAAATTTTTATTTAGTTTTGACTAAAATGCCATTTAGTTTTAGTCATATTTTAGTCATCTGAATTGTTTTTAGTTTTAGTAATAGCAACTAAATTAGGCTGCTGTCCCTTTAAAACAGAATGCACGGATGCAATGAATGCAATGTACTGATACACGTTTTCCCTACTGTTTACGTTCACTTAAGACATAAGTCAACTATGTTTACGTGAATACTCGTCAAAAGGGACAGTTGGACATCATTTTGTGTGTAATTCTCCGTTCATGCGACTCGAGAGAGTATTTGTGCGCTGTGAGATGCGCTTTCTGTGTGTGCTTCAGTGTCTGCGCTCAGAAAACTGGACCGAAATGAGTTCTCTCTTGCATCGTCAGATTTATCTATATGTCTGTTCTTCTCTTACTCCCACATATTGACATTTTTGAACGTTTTATGCGACGTGCAGCAAGTGTATGTTAGCTTATGTCCCGCCGGTTCATATGTACGCATCTAACCTCCGAACCACGCAGCAGATTCGTTCTGAAATTTAATGAATTTCTTCCCAAATCGTCCCTCCCTAACATTTTCGTCTCGTTTTTATTAGTTGACGAAAATGTCAATAGATTTACGTCATAGTTTTTTGTCATTCAAAAATATTTTTATTTTGTTATCGTCTCGTTGTCGTCTGTGAAAAAATGTTGTTGACGAAAATTATTCGTCAACGAAATTAACACTGGTTGCCACAGTGACTAAGCTTGATCTAGGCCTATGTTAAATTTGCTTTATGGAACCAAAGCATTTGACAATGAGTCAGACTAACTGAAATAAGCCTGGCTTATTTGGTTAACTTGTTTTATGAAACAGGCCTCGAGGCATTAAAAGTGATCATATTTTCTCCATTGCATCGAATCGCATTGTGCTGAATCGAATCGAATCAAAATCAGATCGCACTGCATCGTAACGGGTGAATCGTATCGCATCGCATAGGTAGCTGCTTCATATGTGTATTTAATGTATCGTATCGTTGGCTATGCATCGAGATGCATATCGTATCGGCCTCAGTCATGAGATGCACATCCCTAATATATATATATATGTCATGTATATTTATAAACATATATAAATGATTAATAATTATTAATTATTTTATATGATACATTTATTATTAAATTATTGAATGTTTAATTATATTACTATATATTTATAATTTAATAATTAAATAATATTTGTAATATAAATATTTATTTAATTGTTGTATATGTTAAATAATTCTAATGTGTATATATACTGTATATATTACAGTTGTAAATGTACATATAAAATTAATGTTTTATATTAATGTATAATTGTTATATATTATATATTAATATTTAATTGTCATATATACTACAATTGTAAATATATTTTGTGTGTGTGTATATATATATATATTTTTATATATATATATATATATATATATAT